GCTCTCCAAACTGTCGGCCAAACCTCATAACGCCCTGAAAACATAATGCGATTCACTTACATGCGGCTGTTCTTATGACGGACAAAACACGCATGTCCAACATTCACTGGTCTAAAATCTCTAGCCATTTGAGGCAACCACTGCATTTTAATCACAACCCAAAAATGTTAAACACATGTAACATGAGCAGTTGTTTTTGGTCTTGACTTTAGATTTTTGAAATTATGCTACATAAGAAAAACCTGCACAAAACAAAAACAGCAGACGGACTGAATGAAAATGCAAATTCACTCTCTGACAGTAGGTGGCGCTTATGGAACAGTAGCGGTTTTATTTTCTTGGTTTCCGCTGTATACAAAGCAGTGCTGTGCTTATAAACACTACTTTATGTGGAGGTAAGAGGAAATTACCATACGGGTCAGGCAGGCCCCACGGTTCGGCACGCATGTGATTCGCGGATTAACTGCTAAATTTAACCATCATATGAAAGTTTATCATTTGGACGTGTTTCGTCTTGCCAATTTACACATTCAAACAATTTTAAATGCAGAAGAAGAGAGGAAAATCGGGACTCGCGCGTTATATATGCGTGCAGCCGCACGCACCCGAAGCGCACGCACAGAGAGAGAGAGAGAGAGAGAGAGAGAGAGAGAGAGAGAGAGAGAGAGAGAGAGAGAGAGAGAGATAGAGAGAGATACACATAAACACAAAATGATGTCTAAATACCCGTCTTGGCAAATATTCTCTCGTTTATGTCATAAGTTCGAAAAATACCGGATGTTTTTCAGTTTTTTCGGTCCGTGCAGTCGGGTCTTAAAGTGACAGCACACACCTAATATAATTAATTAATAAAACAACAAAATATAGCTTTAACAAAGATGAAACTATATTTAATTTGAAACATGTCAGACCACACGCACATCATCGCTAGATTGATGTCCTAGCATTATGCTAATTCCAGTACTCAATGGGTTGCTGAATCTCCTTCACTATCGTTCGTCAGCATTTATTTATTTTACTCTGTCATGCTAGTCCCGCGCAAACATCATAAAGGCAGGAGTATAGTGTGGTGCAGGTATGACATCACTTTGAAGGCCAAAACGCGGAAACGAGCTGGCATTTTAACACATCCTCCCAAAGTCTATGGTTTTTTTGAATGGGGTTATGGTTAAATGGCTGAAATAAGGTCTGTGGTGAACACAAGCTTATGACTTTCACATTTTATTCTACAAAATAAAATACATCAGTATAACCCCACTCATGATATCGTTTCTTGAAAAAGGTGGTTGCTAACAAGTGGCTAAATGGGACTACGGAGGCTGTCGAGGACATTAGACGTCATCACGCTTTTACAGCCTCACTTATAATTGTGCTCTTATAAACTATTTTAACTCTCTGGGAACAGGTTTTTATATAAAAACAAAGAGTTGTGAACTTGAAGATTAGTTTAGAGGATGACGTTGAAGTCGTGGGACCGCAATGTAGTTTGTTTATAGCCTACCTTTAGCTTTTTACTTCTGGCGACTGCATTTAGGCTGTATTTAGGCTTCAGAATTCATAAAAGTTGTCTTCATTCTGTGAAAATTATCTTAATGGACAAAATGTGTAAGTAGTATCATAAACAATACTTCAGTCCCGACGCCCATTGTCATTTATGACTCACCATGACACCCTATACGTATACGGATCGGGCTGATATTGTGTAATCTGAACCTGGCATAAGATGCCAAATATAGCTTTACCTAATGGTTTATGTCTAATTTCTGCTCTCAGTTCCAACACTGATTGTTGATCCTGTAATGGACAAACCAGCCCAACCTGATTATGTAATCCAAGATAATGTTGCTACGCATCATTTGCCACCAGGAAAACTTGAGACACCTCTAGGGATGTCAATGCAGGACAATAACATTGACAAACATACTGTAGCTTATTTTGCATGGATATCATATAAAACCTGTTTTTATCATGCATTCTTTTCCTAATAATCTCAAAACTGATAAATATATCAGTCTGTCACTACTAATCAGCTTCATTGACAAAGGAAATGGATGCATGCACAAGCTCTCAAGAGATGAATGTCTATGGGAAATGGAAACTGAATTTCAGACAATTAGTCTGATTCATACTCTGTCCTCTGCTAAACTTCATCAAGACTAAATGTATTCAAATTGGAGCGGAGACAGAGCAGTCACATCAGGAAGATTGTGGGAGGAAATGAATGCAGGAAGGTGCAGCTCATAATGCAAAAGGAATATTGACAGTAACAAGCGTCTTCTATATGCCTTCCTCCCCCAGATGAGAGTGAGCAGGACTGATTCGGTATCAGTGGGGTTTGAATGAGAGGCCTATCAGTGACTGCTGTCTGATACAGGTGTGGCTGGCAGTGACCTAGGCTATGAATATTGCAAAACAGGCGGTTGCCTACACAAAACTCAAGGTCAGGTGGAACAGGATCACTCTCTCCTGTATACAATACATAATACAGCTTATTTTTCACAAGATAATTGCATGTACACAGTACTGAGAAGTGATTTGAAATGCACAGATATTACAGTATATATGCGTACGTACACTTCAATAATTAATCTATATTCCCTGAATACAACTAAATTGTCATAGTATGCAGAACTAGTATGTAGCTAGTATAAGTGAACCGTTCAAATATGAGCTATTTTCAGAACCATTTTGATTTTTAATGATTTTCTTTTTTTATTTGACAATGGCCATTGCTGTAGCGCTTAAAAATCTAGTTCTCATTACTGTCTGTACAATGAAAATAATGCTGATAATTTATTTAATTGTAAAGTATCCATGCACTGCTTCTAAATGATTCTGATTTAAATAGACAAAAAATGAAATGGTCTATTACAATAATGAGAATCTAATTTAAAAGACCTTTGAAAGTAAGCATTGCAATGATGCATTACGGTAATGGTATATAAAGGCTACTTTTAAAACATTGCGATTTTTAATGAATTATGATTTTCTTCAAATAGTAATGGTCATAATTATCATTATTTTAATGCGAAAAAACATATTCTCATGCTATAATGTGGAAATAATATTAATATTTTTAAGTGTTTATTCAAAGAAATTGCAAAGTATGTATTACAATAATGAGAATCTAATTTAAATGACCTTCCAAAGTAAACATTACAATGATGCATTCACTGATCTATATAGAATAATTAAATAGATCAGTGGATGCATTACGGTGATGATATAATGCTCAGTGTTTCCGCTACATTCATTCTGCCGTGGCGGGCCGCCACACCTAAAATCATCCCGCCACGGCTGCAGCTTCTCGGTCCGATATTGTATGTGTTATTGTTAAGCCCCACTAAAGGCATATAAAACATTGTAAAGCACCATAAAGTTTTCGCACTATATTCCAAGACTTCTAAAGTCATTCAATAGCATAATGTGAGGTAAAAATGTATATTTAAGTCGTTAAGTTAAAGTTAATGGAAACTCATCTCTCCTCAGTCATTCTCAATTCAGCATTCAAACAGCACGTCACGTTCGGTTACGACAGTAACACGACGACACTCTCTTCAAGATCAATGTTCCCATTATTATACTTTATTTGTAGATAAAGGTCTATAGTTTGCATAAAATTACTTTATCTTGCTGGAGTTTATCGCTTTCTAAATCATATTCCTTTCTCCCGGGTGTCTGTTACTACAGCACTAGAGTAGAGAGCACTATGAATTGTTCTTCATGTGTGTAAGTTAACTGAAATTTAAAACTGTTAAAAGAAAAGGCTCAATAAACTGTTGCATAGATATAATACATTAAGCATAGATTGATATAATCTCTTCGCTTTGTGCTTTGAACTTTTCAATGCGAAGTGCTGCGCGCTGTGACTTCGCGTTGCTTCAAGTGCATCATTCTGCGCACGGGATGCGCATAATCGCTTTGCCGCTCTTATTGGGGCCTTTCATGTTATAATGCTTAGGGGAGGTTTAAACACCTGGGATAAGGGCGTGTGGCCAATGGGAATATCACACATGGGCCACGCCCCCTCCCCCTGGCGAAATGGGCCTGCCACCACGGCTGGAAAAAATCCTAGAGGAAACACTGATGCTCATCACTGCAATGAGGAAATGACATATTTTATTTAAATTGCAATTCAAATTAAAATACTCAGAAGTGTATTACAATAATAAATCTAATAGAAAAATCTTCAAAAGTAATCACTCGGGTGTTTTATAGTAGTAATGACTTGATTGAAATGTGCTTATTTCTCGTGAAAATAATCTCGCAATGGAAAAAGAATCGTTGCACTAACAAAACAATTACCGTGGTTAATCGCTGTATTAAAAAAATACCATGGTACCACTCTGTTCTCTGATGCACCTTGGACTGAGTATTACGCAAATATCACGACACATAAATATCACGACACATTTAGTGCCATATTATATATTAAAATGCAATGTAATTACCACCTAAATTACTCAACCATGTTAAGAGTTTTTAAAAGCTCATATACACAAAAGCATGACGTCAATTTCCAGAGAAGTGTCAGTGTCGTCACTGTCATGTAAACATGAGGAACATGAGGTGAATGAGGAAATGACTTTAACGACTTAAGACACAGCAATGAATATCTTAGCGGTTTTGGTTTCCCGTTTAGGCAATTCAACTCTCAAGGTTGACACCAGGGCCATAACTTCATCGGTGTGTGTGTGTGTGTGTGTGTGTGTGTGTGCAGTGCACTGTGCCGCCAACTTCCCCATTTAGCGCTCCGCTCCCACTTACGCCCATTTCATTTCAATGAATGAAGACGAGCGTCTGCTTACGTCAACTGCGTAACTCGCATCTGTGAATTTCACCCTATCCAAGTGAATCGAGTGTAAAAACGCAGCTGGGAAGTAATAAATAAGACGTGTATCTTCTTATTGAGTTAGATACTGATAAATGTAGCGACCTAAGCTTTTGCACGCGATCGAAGTCAAACCAAAAGAGAAATGGGTAACATAATAATAACCAACCTGCCGACGAAATTTTCCAGCACGGAGCTTTTTCCGGCGCTCTGTCCTCCGACCACGGCTATCTGCGGCAGATCCAAGTTACAACTTTGGCCAATGGAACTGAAAGCATCTTGGAGTTTATTGATCAGGGGGATCAAATCCTCCATCCCCCGGTTGCCCATGGTTTCTGACCGTCTCTCAGCGCGCAGGAACGGGCTCGCGGCAGCACGGCGCTCGGGTTACTCTCAAGTGTTCAATTTCCACCCTTCAAACACTTCCAGATCAGTCTGTCAAAGACTAATAACTCACAAGTTACTCGCTGACTGGCAGATGACACGTATTACGGCGCATTCGTTAAGATCCGTGTTGTGATCTGAGGATCAATCATTCGTAAACTCACAAAACAAAACTTCTCGCTATCATCCGGTCAGGCGACATCCGACCTCCACCGGTGACGCGAGTCCCGCCTCCTGTCAACCGATGTCGTTCTGTCCGATTGGTCCGACAGAGCGCTTCCTGGTGTGTTCTGACTTTTGATTGGCTCAACCCTCGTTTCTGACTCAAACGGCCGAGGAGTGCTATTGGACGACTCTAATGTCAATTTAGTTTCAACGAAAAGATTTCGAAAATTGTCAACGTTGTAATATTGTACAAATAAACAATAATTATCATTTTATTAAATGATAAATATACAATTACTGTAATATTGCCATGAATAAATTAACCATGTTAACAGTTTAATAATTTGTATTATATTTTCTTCCTATGAAAACACAATGAATACATTGTTTGGGGTCTCCAGTTTGTTATATATCCACTAGTAGAAAAAATTATTATATTTAAGCGGGATTCTCACAATCATGGAACATTATACTTATTTTAGGATTCTGATCTGGCTCATGAGTCATTTCTTGTGAAGGGAAGTCCGACTAATTTCTGCGAATCGGTTCCTTTAAACAGTTCGTTCAAAACAACTATTCATTGATTATTTTACGTCATTTTGTCGCAACGCACATTTGCCGTTTAACTGTTTTATTTAACTTTTATAAATAACGACCCTTAACCATAGTTTTATTACAGGTAAAATGTAGTAAACATGTTTTTTGAACCGTCTTTGTAAACCACAGTTCGTTTCTACAAAATCTATGGTTAAACTATGATTATTGTATCAAAACCATTGTCAATTTGTGGTTACCATGGTTTAACTACAATAACCATGTTTTTGTATTAGTAGTAGGCCTATAGTAGTAAAGCCATGGTTAATTTTCGTTAGGGTGTGTTTATTTAATGTGTCCCAGTTCAGTTTGTTGCAGCCACGATTCAGCTCACGCAACAAACTAATAATTTAAAAATCCATAATTTTAATGTAGACATTTCTGAAAAAGACGGATTACTGATTCGCGTACGAATCGTTCGGCTCTTCTTGATGAATCACTATTGAGTCGGATCTTTTTGATGAATCGCTATTCAAAATGGCTGCGCCCAGGACACATGAGTGTATAGACAGTATGGCATCAGTAAAGGTTGTATCCTCTGCTGCTCCTCTCGTTCTTCGTATCGTGGCGGAGTGTCCTGTGAGCAAGGCAAGAGCCTGCACACTTACTCTCCCACACTGCGCAGTGAACACCCCGGTGTTCATGCCCGTGGGCACTCAGGGTACCCTGAAAGGCATCACTGTAGACCAGCTGGAGGACCTGGACTGCCAGATATGCCTGGGGAACACCTATCATCTCGGCATGAGACCGGTATGTGAGAGAGGAAATACTTCAAATTTTGTTTTGAGTGTTTCGTCAGAACCAAAGCACTATGTTTAAAACTTACTTAACTGGTATTGTATGTGTCCTAACAGGGTCCCGAGTTAATAGAGAAAGCCAATGGATTGCACGGGTTTATGAAGTGGAATAGAAATCTCTTAACGGTAACTATTATTATTTTCAAATTGTTCCCAAACACCTAGAGAACTAGTCAAACGTAGGAAAGATCCCAGACAGCAACATAGTATTGTCCCAGATCCAGCCCACATCTGGTACTCGTTGAATCCATATGTACCAGATGTGGCCCGGATCTGGGCCGACACTATATGTTGCTGTCTGGGATGGTTTGTTTTATTCTTTTTCTAACGCAGATTTAGCAAAGTTTCTGTTCGAAGGGTACAGCCGGCTGGAAATGTTATGGAAATTGTAAAGACTTAAAAGTCTTGTCAGTTTTTTACATTTACATCTATGCATTTAGCAGATGCTTTTATCCAAAGCGACTTACAATAAAATAACAAAAGCAATTTGTCAGAGAGAGCCAATCGGTGTTGGGTGTAGTAACGCATTACAAGTAACTTGAGTTACATAATCAGATTTTTTTTTCAAGTAACTAGTTTTTTTTTTATATGCATTACTTTTAGATTTACAATCAAATGCCTGAGTTGCTTTTTCAAATAAGTAACGCAAGTTACTTTGTTTTTCCATTTATTGACTGACAGTTTTTCCTGTCCCTATGTTGCAAAAAAAAAAGAGATTCAGAATTACTCAAAATTAATAAAAACAGTTAAATGCAATCTAAGAATAGTATGCAAAACTGCAATAATTAGATATATTAAATTACACAAACATACTTTATGAATTTAATCTCACTTTATTAACCAATGTATTTGCTGCTGACCTTCGATTATCCATTTCCAACATACTAATAAACAAAAATGACTTTAGATAATCACATTTGTTTAAAATGTTTGTATGTACATTTTTTATTGCTGAAGTAAACGTGTTGAACTTTATTCTATTCTTCTTCACTCCAGAATGGCAGAACAGCTGAAAGTTTTTTTTTGAACTGCTCCCTCTGTACAGGCATGAATTTGGATTTCCTTCAGCCTAAACTTATTCACTTCACTTTAGGTGTGAAAGGGCTGTTACATTTGCCAAAAATAGAACTTTTTTTTGGTGTTATTAAAAACAAACAAGCAAGCCCAGCCCAGCCCAGCCCAGGTGAGAAAAAGTAACGCAAAAGTAATGTAACACATTACTTTTCATATAAAGTAATTAGTTACTTTTTTAAGGAGTAATGCAATATTGTAATGCATTACTTTTAAAAGTAACTTTCTCCAACACTGGAACCAAACAAGTTTTTATAGTGAATATAAATTATTTGAGTTTTGCTCTGCTCCGAAAATATTTCAAAGTGTTGTATAAACCTTATGTAGCCCCGCCCCTTTTCAGCGCTGCGCTCGTTGTCTTTTGACTTCCGGTCTGTATTTTCACAGCGATCTTGCATAGGTATGAATGAACTGCTCGTAAAAAATTTCCCGGTCGACATTTGTTAAGACATCTGCTTTACAATGCTTATCAGAAACATTACAATGCTCATGTCATGATAACTTTTGTTTACTCTACAATAATTAAATCCACTTATTACTCTAATTACTATTTAATTAGCTAATTACTCCTGGACAGCGATGCCATAGAAATATACAGAGTGACCGCAAAAATGGAAGTTCAAAGACAATATTCTAAAGATGACGGCGCCCACGTTTCTCTGGTGCATAAGGTCTATAAAATAAAATATACTTTCAAGCCAGCATAAAACATAAGTCTGTCAATTTCAAGGTCTTATTGGAAACATTTGCATACTAATAAATATATAAAAAAAAATTACACAAAGTGTAATCCTTGTTGTCCAACACAAAATTTGGAGGCCCCCCTCCCTCCATATAGGCTACGGCGGTTCCTGTATTTCTAATGTAATTATGACAAAGCTGCTTGTTTTCTGACTTTTTTTATTAACAGAAACTGGGAAAATTTCTGTATTAAATCAATTAACCATGGTTTATTTTGTGATTCCAGAAATTGCAAGAACTGCTTGTTCTTCAATAAGCACAATATTTATTGAGGAAAAGAAATATAATTGCAAATTACATCTTGATTTTATGTGTTTTTAAACATTTTAATATAGATTCGATTTGGGTTATTTTAATATATTCAAGTGGCCCGTTTATGCTTTTTCGGATATTACCTTTCCTGTAGTGTGTGATAAAGCTGTTTGTGAATGTAAAAGGTCTGCAATGTTTCAAAGTTCACAACAAATAAAATGATTGTCTCATAAAAGAAAGAACCGATTCTGAACTGCCTGAAACAAGTAGTCAGTGATTCCAGTCTCACTTCCTGCATTAACCTGCAGAGGTTTGTAACACATTTCATAATGCCAGCCTGTGGTCTTCATTGACTGCCCGCGAACAATGTCTACTTTGACCCTCAAACACTGTAGTTGTTGCTGAGGCCTTGAAGAGATTGATTTGTGTTTTTGACATGTTGAGAAGACGCGGTTTTCTGATGTAGACTCATTTTAAAAAAGCAAATCCACTTTGCATGCACTTCAGAAGGATGAGGACTCCGGTTCAAATTGGTACAGTAAAACCGATGACATCGTTACTGTTTGTATCCCTGTGTATCCAGTGCTGAGGAAGATCTAGAGCTGAAATTTAGATATGGTAATGGGTGTTTCGTTTCCGACGCACTGTAAGTGGTAGACCAATCAAAACAAACTGGGCCATCTGACCGAGCAGAGCAAAGTAGACCAGCCAAAACAGACTGGGTCATCTGACCAATAAGAGCAGAGTAGATCAATCACAACAGACTGGGTCATCTGACCAATCAGAGCAGAGTAGATCAATCACAACAGACTGGGTCATCTGACCAATCAGAGCAAAGTAGACCAATCACAACAGATTAGGCCATCTGACCAATCAGAGCAAAGCAGACCCATCACAACAGACTGGGCCATCTGACCAATCAGAGCAGAGTAGACCAATCACAACAGACTGGGTCATCTGACCAATCAGAGCAGAGTAGACCAATCACAACAGACTGGGCCATCTGACCAATCAGAGCAGAGTAGACCAATCACAACAGACTGGGCCATCTGACCAATCTGAGCAGAGTAGACCCATCACAACAGACTGGGCCATCTAACCAATCAGAGCAGAATAGACCCATCACAACAGACTGGGCCATCTGACCAATCAGAGCAAAGCAGACCAATCACAACAGATCGGGCCATCTGACCAAGGGAGTAATCCATCAGCCGGAAACGTAAGTCTCCCCGGGGGCCGCCATTGGCTAACAAGCCTTCACCTACTGTTAGTATTCCATTGACTCCCATTCATTTTGGCTTCACTTTGACAGCAAATAACTTTACATCTGAGGCGTTTAAAGTCTCCATTTGTCCATTGTTTATTTCTAAAGAAACACGATAATGTATAAAAGGCTCCCTTTATACATTACCTTTACGTTATGGCCCCGTAGAAGCCGTTTTTGTAAAAATAGGCTAACGATTGTGTCATAACACGCGACTCTCAGTCGCACAGTACAGAAATTACCGTATAGACAGAAGTAGAAGCTCGCGCGCAATTGGGGGGACGTGGAGGCATAAAGTCAAGGCAGAAGCCCATAGAGGGTTGTAAAGTTGCTCCTGCTGTTATTTCATGGACGGCTAATACTCACGATCTCCGGCTCTGCAAGATTCGGAAGGGAATAATTCAGATTCCCTTTGGCACAGCTACTAGAATACGTACAACTGTGAGACAGGTTGCTCATGTCACATCTACGTCATCAAGCTCAGTTTGAGTCTGCGCAGTGCGCTTGGCAATCAGGAAGTGAGTGCTTCTAATTGACTTCACTTTTCTCCGTTGAAGTCTATGGGGTCGCTCGCTGTGTCCATTTCTTTTACTGTCTATCCATCTGACCAATCAGAGCAAAGCAGACCAATCACAACAGACTTGGCCATCTGACCAATGAAAGGCAGAGTTTAGAGAGACAGAATCATTGAACAGAGCGATTTCAGATGATTTGAGAAATGAGGTCATGCTGCAATGTATATTCTGAGAAAATTAACGTTTTTTTGACCTTGGATGCATGTAAACCCTTTTGTAGGAGAATCCCAGAGTTCAGCATTTCACCCCCAAATTCCTTTTAACAGGACAGTGGCGGGTTCCAGATGGTGTCTCTAGTGGAGCTGTCTGAGGTGACGGAGCAGGGCGTCACGTTCCGTTCCCCTTACGATGGAAAGGAAATCCTGCTCACCCCGGAGCAATCCATCGGCATACAGAACAGCCTCGGTGCGAGTCACAGGGTTATTATACTTAACTAAAACTAAAACCATACAAAACAAGTCATTAATTATATAATAATAAAGTGAACAGTATAGGGTTAGTTTACCAAAAAATGAAAAAATTCTGTCATCATTTACTCACCCTCATGTTGTTATGGTTGAACTTCTGTTTACGATATTTGATGTGCTCTATATTCGTTCCCTGATCAATGTTTAAATGTGAATAAAAGACTCAATTCAATCTGTCCATCATATAAAGCGATCGTGTGTCTCAGAAAACTTTATATGGATTAGTTTTACGATCTATTTATGAGCTTTTCGAAGTGTCAGAGTTTTGGGTGAATGACAGAAAGCTCTCAGATTTCATTCAAAATATTTTGATTTGTGTTCAAAATATGAACGAAAGTCATGGGTTTGAAACAACATGAGGGCGAGTAAAGGAGGACATAATTTTCATTGTGAAATGAAATAAACACAAAAAAATGAATCTTTTTTTAAATTTAGTTTAACTTGATGTAATAAAATGACTAAAACTACATTGTTAATAAAACTTAAACGTATAAAAATAAATAAAACGCTATACAGTAATATTTTTTTTAAAGGGGTCATGAACTGGCTTTTTAATTTTTTTTATATTGTTGCCTGAGGTCAACTTATGACGTTCGCTTGGTTTTTACATTCAAAAACATCAAAATGAATAAGTAATAGGCTATCTTCTACCCTAGTTTTGAGCCTAGCTCAAAAACGCTCGGTTTTTATGGGCGTCTCGCATTGAAGACTTGGAAGTAAACGCCCACTGCTATGAGTGGATAACAGTTTTGCATATTATAATGAGTTTCGTGTAATGCGCGAATCGGTGGGCGGGGCTAAACCGGCCGTGTTGAAGTATCTTCTTCTGCGGGGGTGGTGTTTAATCCTCTTTGTCGTCATAGTTCCCCACTTTGAAAAACGACTCGTTTGCTGAGCCTGGTGTCAATAAAAGCTTTTATTGGACTAACAAGGACGTTTTCAGTTCTGAAACTTACAGGATATTCTTATAATATGATGACCTCTTAGATGTCAAAAGCTCAAGGAAAATTTGATTTCTCAGTTCATCACCCCTTTAAGCATAATTGCTAAAACTTTCACATTTAAATAAAGACGGGTAATATGGACATAAAAACTAACTCACAATATAATTAATATAAAATAGTATAAAAACTTGCATTAACTAGTATAAAAACTATATAGTATATCAATGAACCTAAAATGACACTGATGATTCATGTTGCAGATCCTTGTTTCTCAGCCATTTAAGAACATTCAACACATGCTTGTTGAACTCTTTGTGTGCAGGTTCAGACATAATGATGCAGCTGGATGACGTGGTCAGTAGTACGGTGAGAGGCCCGCGGGTGGAGGAGGCCATGCACCGCTCCGTTCGCTGGCTGGACCGCTGCATCGCGGCGAATAAGAACCCGGACCGACAGAACCTGTTCGCCATCATTCAAGGGGGGCTCGATGCCAAACTGCGCAAGGCCTGTTTAGATGGTGAGCGCTCCAGGACTGCAAATGTGCGACAGCACATCGTAAAAATCATATTAAAACTCCATTAACAGGCAAAAGTTTGGGGTCCGTAAGAATCGGATTAAAGAAATAAACACTTTTATTCAGCAAGGACACAGCACAGGTTAGTTTGATCAAGAGTGACAGTAAAGACGTTTATAATATTACACAATATTTCTATTTCAAACAAATGCTGTTCTTTTGAACCTTCTATTCATCAAAGAATCATGGGGAAAAAAAGTCAGTTTCCATAAAAATATAATCTCTGTTTCCATTCAAAGTTGTGATTTTAATTTATTTGCAAAATTGGAATATCGCATAAAACGTCTGCGAACAAAGCAGAGTTCCCCTCCCATGTGTTCAAGAGAACAAAATGGTCATTTCCTGGGAAACTGATTAAAAATATCAGCAATAAAAATGGAAGTTGCTGCAATCAGGGAAGCCACTGTGACCTTTTTACATGTACGTCATAAATGTACAGATGAAACGCTGTCATATTTCTTTGGCTCAGGCAATTCAGAACGACCAAATCAACATTTGAGATGCTCTGCTATGAAATTGGTCTGCTGGTTGATCTGTTGAGGCAAAGTCATGTGGTTTATTGGCTGGTTTATCAAATTTTTTAATGTCGTTTTATCGGAATAAAAAATGATCCGCCTCAATTGAGCGCATACATTTTTTATCTTGCCATTTCCATCCAATGTTTTTTGATGCAATATCCCAAAATTTGCATTAAAATAGGATGATAATAATAATAATAAGAAGAAATATTTCTTGAGCATCAAATCATCATATTAGAATTATTTCTGAAGGGTCATGTGACACTAAAGACTGGAGTAATGATGCTGGAATAGATGACATTTTACAATATATTACAATAGAAAACTGTTATTTTATATTGCAATTTTGATCAAATAAATGCAGCCTTGATGAGCACAAGAGACTTCTTTCAAAAACACCGACCCTGTAAAGGATTTGGACACTTCTAAATGTTTGAATGTCATTACATAAGAGGCAAAATATCAAATCAAATCAAGTGGCCTCTTCAATCTTCTGAACCATTTTTTGAATGACTCTTTACCAGCTGGTTTCAGAGTCACTTCTCCTCAGTTTCACACAGCTGTCCCAGCAGAGTAACCACAGATGTAGTTCATCACACTATGAACGTGATCCACTAACATTTTTCAAACACAAACCAGAAGCATTAAACATGATTCCTCTCCACCTTGCTAAAAATTGTCCTTTTCCGTTTCTTCACTCAGAAATGACAAAGCGCGATGTGCCGGGCTTCGCCATTGGTGGGTTGAGCGGGGGAGAGGAAAAGGATGACTTCTGGAAGATGGTGACTCTCAGCACACACCACCTCCCCAGAGAAAAGCCCCGCTACCTCATGGGAGTCGGGTAAGACACACTTCCTTTGAAATTGTGCTTGTGCTTTCGTTTACTATTGGTAGATTTGTCATTATTTGTGAGTATTGTTTGTTGATTGTCTCTTTACTGTGTGTTTTAGCTATGCACTAGACCTGGTGGTCTGTGTTGCCTTGGGCTGTGATATGTTTGACTGTGTCTTCCCAACTCGAACAGCAGTAAGTGATGGATTTCTGTTGACTTTCCTTTCTGTTAGGGCGGAAGTTTGGAGTCAGTACAGTTTTTAATGTCTTTGAAATAAGTCTCACCGTGGCTGCGTTTTATTTGATCAAAAATACAGTAAAAACAGTAATATTGTGAACAGTTTTCTATTGTAATATATTTTAAAATGTCATTTATTCCTGTGATCAAAGCTGAATTTTCAGCATCATTTCTCCAGTCTTCAGTGTCACATGATCCTTCAGAAATCATTCTAATATGTTCAAAATGGCAGCATTTATTTGAAATATGAAATCTTTTGTAACAATGTTTTTTTTTTTTTTTAAATTTAAAGTATTAAATTCTTCAAAATATATATTTCTGAATATTAGCTGTTAGCTATATCACGGAACCGTACTTTCATTACATAATGTTCCTATTCTACAGTCCACAGAAACACTTTATTAGAGATTCGGCCTGCTTCGGTTTAACAGGAAAAACCTACAAGAGTTTTAATGGGTTCCTATTATGTTTTTTTTTTTTTTTTTTTTTTACATTTTCAGCTTTCTTTAGTGTGTGTATGCTGCTGTTTGAGCATGAAAAAGCTCTGCATGTTACAAAGCACAAATTCACAAGTCTGAATTCCCTGAAACGCCTTGATTGTAGACTTGTGTTTACTTCCGGGAACCAACACGTCACAATATTCCTCATTTAAAGAAATCCCGCCCAAGGCATACGCCAAATAAAGGGGCGGTAGTGGGTAGTGTTGAATCTCACTGTTATGGTACGGGGCGGGACATTTCCCAAACACGCTCAAAGCAGTTGACCAATCAAAACACACTGATCCAGGCGACCAATCAGAGCACATTGTGCTTTTCAGAAGCAGGGGCTTCATAGAGACAGGAACTAAACAGAGTGTTAATGACAGATTGGGAAGAGAGGTGCTGCAACAATGTCAAATATGTGAAAAATAATTAGTTTTGTGTACATTTTTAAGCATGAAAACATATTCTAGGAGTCCCCGAAAAGAAAATCATCACTCAAAACCAAGGGCTTAATAGGTCCTATTTAAGGCTTTAGAACTTTGAAATACTTGGATGAATCCAGGATAAATGTTTACCATGATCTTGTCAGTATTTCTCTCATTTTAATGAGGCAATGTCTGGTTGTTTCAGAGATTTGGATCCGCTTTAGTTCCCTGGGGATCTCTGCAGCTCAAACAGAAACAATATGCCAAAGACTTTCAGCCGATCGATCCTGACTGCCAGTGTTCCACCTGCAAGAGGTACGGACATCTGTCTGGAATTTACCTGACTAAATTGTTAGTTTAATGTGCTGATGTTCAGCTGTCTGCTGTGCTAAGAGGAATAGTCACAGATCGAATCCAGATATCAACAAAATCTCTCTACTTCAAAACCTAAAGATGATTGTGAATCCTTTTTTCTTTGTCAGACACAGTCGGGCTTACCTTCACGCCCTGTTCAAGAGCGACACTGCAGCCATGCATCACATCACTATCCATAACATCTCTTACCAGGTAATTATCAACCAGGCTGACAAATGCACTACATGTTGTTTAGACACGGTATGTGTTATTACTGCGGTCACTTAATTTCTTCCTGTCCACATCAGCTCACACTCATGCGTTCAGTGCGTCAGAGCATCATAGATCAGAGGTTTCCTGAGTTTGTGAAGGCGTTCATGAAGAGGATGTTCCCGTCCAGCGATCAGTACCCCAGCTGGGCTGTAGAGGCACTGCAGTCAGTCAACATCACCGTCAGCTGAGACGCCCACACCAGGATCATGAAGACAAGAAAAAGACTTGCTGGTTCTTTTTTTAAATGCTTACATTTTTAACATATAATATGTGAAATATACCTGTTTTGTAAATAAAAACTTGTTTTCATTTTCAATTCCATCTACACTCTTTCACCAAAATAATCTTATGTGAAATGGTATTGTTGACTTTTTTATAGAATATTTTTTTATAGTTTTATCTTTTTTGTCTTCATTTTGAACGGCATATCTTTAGCATTTTAATTACCTTTATCTTTTAATATTACAACAGGTGAGAGAACAAATGTTAATATTAAGTGTATTGTTTATTCGTAATATCAATATAATCTCGTTTGTAACACCATAAATAACCATTATGGGATTGTGTGTGTGTTTATAAAATATACACACACACACATTATATAACGTTCTTGGGATTGGTAAGTTTAATGTTTTTGAAAGAAGTCTCTTATGCTGCATTTATTTGATCAAAACAGTAATATTGTGAAATATAACAATTTAAAAAATAACTGTTTTCTATGTGAATATATTGTAAAATGTCATTTATTCCTGTGATCAAAGCTGAATTTTCAGCATCATTACTCCAGTCTTCAGTGTCACATGATCCTTCAGAAATCATTCTAATATGATGATTTGATGATCAAGAAACATATTATTATCGATGTTCAAAACTGTTTTGCTCTCAATTTAATACATTCTTGCTAAAATAAAAGTATTCATTTCTTTTTAAATAAATCTTACCGTCCCCAAAAAATTGAACAGTATTGTGCATATGTAGGCCTACTATGCATTTAGTAACATCGCCTTAGCCTTTACATGAATGTTCTTTTATTGTGTGTTTTATGGCACGATTAGAATCGCTCGAACGCCTCAACTGAACAGATGTGCATGTAAAAAGACCATCAGAACCTTTAAAGGTTGAGGTTATATATGAAGCCTTTCATTCGCTAAGCAGGGCAGATTTATTGGGCTTCTCACACAGGCAGCCACTGAGGGGCAGAGCGCTCAAGATCTCACTGCGGGTTATTGACAGGAGAGAGAGGAGACTCGATTCTGTGACAACACAATTCATTTGACTCCAGCGTGGAAATTTGACTTCTTTGATTTTGATTGCATTATTATGCTAACTGAATATGCATGCGGATAGAGCATGTCAAACACTGCAACAGGTGTTCCCCCTCACTTTATGCACTGCTTATTAAGTGGGTAAATTCGCTGCACTATTTTTGGTAAAGCTGATGTAAAAATTAATAATTTATGGCATTGATGGAGATGGGATTTTCATTACCTACATTAGGCAACTAATTTTTGATTGACAGTTAGCTTTGATTGAGTTCCAGTATATGAGTGGACTTGTCGCTCTCTCATGCATTTCACAACAACGCAGCAGACGAAATTACTTCAGGCGGCTTGCAAGTAATGAATAATAAATGAACTTTCCACACATGCTTCAATCAATTAAGGACACTGGTGAAACAATGCACTGCAGCAGCAATAACTGGCAACAGTTACAGCTGATGTGAAACCGCTTAGCAGTCGAGCAGGATGTCCAGGCAGGCGCTCAGTGTTTTGTGAGCTCAGCTCGGGGAGGCACCAGTTGCTCAGTCGCTGCTGTGATAGTGGATCCGTGTCTCCGTTACTGAGTGATGACAACACTTTATATGTGAGCGAACTGAAACAATCACAGCGGAGGGACAAACGAGGGCGAAGGCGTTTTAATTTCCACCCCGGGTTGATTTGTGTCGACCATGGTGGAGCTGGAGAAGGAGGTTCTGCCGCTGCCGCCGCGGTACCGGTTCCGAGACCTGTTGCTCGGGGACTGGCAGGCGGACGACAGGTACAGCAACTTCAACTCCCAGCTTAAATGTTTACATACGTGCTTCCAGTTGAAATAGCTGCCTGCGAGCAATGCACAGGGAATTATTATAGAATTATGGGCAATTGTAGCCTAATAGTATGAGTGTGAGTATTAGTAAAAGCCATAGTATTAGCATTGGATTGAGAGTAGTATAGAAATTCCAATTGGCAGTAGAGTATTAGTACAGTAACCTACTGATATTGGTTATTGGTATTAATAAGGTCATTTGAATGCAATACTGGTACTAGTTTTAGAATTAAAATTAGTATTATGACCGTAGCCAACTAATATCAGTGTCAGTACTATTTTACAGTCTGGCTGTGTCTTAAAACTTACTAAGCACCTTGTGTCTTGTCTAGCTAGCTAGCTCTAGTCTGCGTGTTTATCCTGGCATAGGGTATGCGTAGTTGTTTTATGCAGGCTTTGATACAGCCTGCTCACATTTTGATCTCTTCAACAGCCATTTTACAGACGACAAAAGCAGAAAAAGATGAACTGACAAATATGTGGGTTTGTGCATGCTTGTGTCATATCTAGTGTCTATAATGTGATGATGTTTTGCACACCTCAGATGATATCACCTGTTTATTTAATTCAATGTAGCAGGTTACAGCACTGAGTGAGTGTCATGCATCGAGTCTCCAAATTAATGTGGAAACATGAAGATGGTATATTGAAATTTCCATGTATATGTAAATATTTAGATTTAGATTTACTATGTAAAGAAGGCCAGTCCCAGCTAACAAATTTTAGTTCCCAGAATGTTCTGGGAACATTAGTTTTTTAGGTTCCCAGAATGTTCTGGGAACGTTATTTCTAGGTTCCCAGAACATTCTGGGAACATTCCCAAAACATGTATTTGTAACGTTTGTTTTTGGTTAGCCAAGAAAGTTTTTGTTATGGAAATAGAATGTCTTTTTAGGTTTGCAGAACGTTCCCCAAACCTTCACGTTTTAACGTTAAAAACAACCTGCAGGGACCGTTCTGGAAAGGTTCTATAGGTTATAAAATAAATCCTATAAATAACCTACATGAACTGTTCTGGGAAGGTTTTCTTTAGGTTGTAAAAAAAAAAACCTATAGAATGTTACTAGAACGTTCTTATTTCGTCCTCTCCCCCTCAACCCTTCCCCCTTTCTGTGTTTGCTGAGGTATCACCAAATACCAACACTGCCACGGATGTCTATATTAAATAGATTTTTTTCTTCTTCTCAATTTCCGGGGATGAAATGAGTAAAGCCATTCAACACCAACATTTTATTTACTGGTTACATTTCCCAATTCTCAATTCCAATTTTTAGCGCACAAAAAGAAAAAAAAGAAAAGAAAAAAAAAACACTAGCCTAACTAATATTAAGTTCAAACATTTTAATAGACAAAAAAAGCAAAAACAATTAAGCAATAGCACAAATACAACATAATAAAGATACAAACAGTGCTTTAAAGGCCCCCTGAAATCAAAATGTAAGTTTTTTTTTTAGCTTTTAGTATGAATATGTTAGCCTTAAGGTTATCAATAAGCTGGTGTGTTCCAAAACAATGATACAATTCACATTTAGGAGATATAAGCATTCAAAACTTAGTCTTTCACTTCTGTTAAAATTAATCTGGATTTTTATGACATCACCGCAGACTTCAGCTTCTCATCACATCTTCTGTCCAATCAAATTCTCTCTTCGTCCCGTCCCCTATGCTATAAATAACACCGGCCAAAGCAAAGTTAACATGTCACGGAGCAATATGGGTTGGAGATGTGTGTTCGTTTGCTCGAATGCTCGAGTTTTATTCTGTTTACCAACTGTACGTTGGTTAAGAATTAAATGGCTAGAATTTATTCACACCTCTACTATTGAATCTAACGTATCATCAGGGCTATGGTGCTGTCAAGTACGACTTGCAGTCTGTGAGGTAAACTAAACGCTATTGGCTGTTTGAAAAGGGGGAGGGGGAATTCAATATGTCCCGCCTTAGCTTCCTGTTTCAGTGGAAATTACGTCAACGCATCATTCAAAGCTGCGCATTCCAAGGCATTTCAGTGGGCCCTTAAGTTTTTCAGGTAGGTCTAACAGTAATATTCAGGTAAGAAATACTACAGAAACTGAATAAAGTAATAAAATGTAAAGTAACACTCTATGGTCTACACTGTTTATGTACAATATAGAGGAAACCTACAAAGTTATTCAGTTAAGAGCAGTGAGTGAGCATTTTCTCTTTTCTTTTGTTCTTTGATCAGCGGTCTGTAGCAGGTATATTAGACTGCTGTCACTTTAAGACCCGACGCACATGACGCGGATCTGACAAGCATCCGATTCTTTACTCTTTACGTTCATTTAACACTTCTTAACTTTTTTAATACTGTGCTTACGAGGATATTCGCGTAATGTACAAGAGACTGAACGTGATTCAATTCCCCGATATACTCATGACTAAGTCATTTTTCCTACTTCGCTTAGAAGTAAAAAGAAGTTGGAAATACCTTTGCAGTGATATACTGTTAGCGAACATCCAGACGCCGTCCTCGCTGCTTAGATGAATATGTAAATAAACGCACGACAAAAAAGACAGCGGTGAGTAAACAATTAAGAAAGCAGTACAGAATGGCTCTTTCATAAATTATCACATCCTTTGGATTTTCCCTGCAGTCTTTCCCATCAAAATCAGTCTACAGGCTTTCATAGACAACATAGGAAGTCGGGGACAGAAATGAATGTTATTTTTGACAGTCCTAATATATCGACTATATCAATCACTTAACAAGATTTGTCATTTATAATTTGCCAACTGTAGCAAATCTACTGAGCATTTAACGCTTTCTTTAATGATGTCAATTTACCTGTGATACAGTGGTATATTGTGAGAGCCACAGCACTTAAAGGTACACATTAGCTAAATATGCCATTTAGCCAGATAGTGGAACATAAAAATCTGCATTTTATGCTTGACACTCCGTTGCTAGGTGAGGACGGAGGACCGAAACACTTTAGTCCTTTAGAAAGATAAGAATGAGTTTTCTCCCTCGCTTCTGGTCTTCCTGAGTGGGCGTTTAAAATGCACTAATTGGCGAGCGCTCATTCGTAAGGGGGTTAAAAGTAGGGGACATGTCTTCTTAAATGGAGCAACTACTTCAGGTGATAATTCCACATTTGAAACAGCCTCCATTTGACAGTTTCAAAGGGATCTCAT